CCCTTGGAGCCTCTGTTCTTGGGCCCCCCCACCCCGCAATTTCTCGCTCAATTATCTCGGCAAAGCACCCTGACAGCGATGTGTAAAAGCATAGCTGGAAACATTGCCTTGGGCATTCATGTAAGAGCGCTGTTGTAGAATTCGCGTGTTCTCGCAGTCGCATGCGGATTCGCAGTGGCAGTCGCAGTGGCAACATCAGTCGCAGTCGCAGTCGCAGTGGCACTGCCAGTAGTTGCAGTAGCAAGAGCTACACTAGCAGCAGCAACAGCAGCAGCAGTAATAGTAACAGTAGTAATAGCAGTAGAAGTAGTAGTAATGGTAGTAACGGTAACAGTGAAGTAGTAGTTGTAGTGGGTGGAGTGAACGAGTAGGAGTAAAGGGAGCAATGGTAGTAGCAGTAGAAACACTAGTAGCAAGAGTAATACAAACGAGACACTGCTATCAATCAGCCCATCTTCGAACGAGACACTGCTATCAATGGGTGTACTTTCGAACGACTCACGGCTTTCGATAACTGCATCTCCAAATCAGATGTTTGTATCAATGCATTGAAGTCGAAGCGAGACACTGCGATCAATGGAAGTAGGTCCAAACGAGAGCTCCCCGAGGGGGGGATGCGCCCATCCGAGGGAACGGTGCACCGCCCACCCCCTCCTCAGTACTGGCGACGAGGATCAAGCTGCTTAGGGAAAGAAGAAGACCCCCCCGCCCCCTATCCTCCCCCGCGGCCTGAGTGGACCACCCAGGCCTGCGGAGGACGTCATAAAGGGTCGGGTACCCCGTGCAGAAATGAAGGGAGAAAGGGGAGGGGGGAAAGAGTTAGGAGCCTCCCTCGTCCTGCTCCTCCTGCTCCACCAGCTCCTCCTACTACTGCTGCTACAAGCATTGGATTCTGGCGGAAACGCCCAGTGCACGATGACGCCTGTGTCCGCCGTCTTGCCCTGCACGATGACGACGCAAAACAAACTGGGAATCGGGTGGCGAGAGATCTGACGTCCAGTAAGCAAAATGTGGCCCGGGAATGGAGTTCTGGGAGCTCGAAGAAAACGAAGTGGCCTGCAGTTGGCCCCGGACATCCAAAATGTGGCCCGGGAATCAAGTTCTGGGAACTGGCCTACAGTTGGCTCCGGGCACCCAAAATTTGGCCCGGGAGTGGAATTCTGGAAACTCGAAGACCACGAAGTGGCCTACAGTTGGCTCCGGGCATTCACAATGTTGCCCCGGAATGAGTTCTGGGAGCTCGAAGACCACGAAGTGGCTTACAGTTGGCTCCGGGCATTCAAAATGTGGCCCGGGAATGAAGTTCTGGGAAATCGAAGAACACGAAGGGGCCTACAGTTGGCTCCGGGCATTCAGAATGTGGCCCGGGAATGGAGTTCTGGGAAGTCGAAGAGCACGAAGTGGCCTACAGTTGGCTCTGGGCATTCAGAATGTGGCCTGGGAATGGAGTTCTGGGAGGTCGAAGAGCACGAAGTGTGCGACTGTTAATGAAAAACGAATTCGGACCTTGCTCCCCGGATGCCGCCCGGACCCCCCTGTGGAGTCATCTGCTGCTCTCTTTTGACCCTACTAGAAACCTACCAGTCTTTGCTGTTAGGTAAAAACGACTGACGCCCCCCTCCATGCCCCCCACCTGGCCCCGACACCCCCGCCCCTAGGAGTCTCTGTTCTTGGAGCCCCCCACCCCAACATTTCTCACCAAAAAACGACCTACGCCCCCCTCCATGCCCCCACACCTGGCCCCGATACGCCCACCCCTAGGAGTCTCTGTTCTTGGGGCCCCCCACACCAAAATTTCTCGCCCAAAAACGACCTACGCCCCCCTCCATGCCCCCCCACCTGGCCCCGACACCCCAAAACCTTGGGAGTCTCCTTGTTCGTGGGACCCCCCACCCCACATTTCTCGCCCCAAAACGACCTACGCCCCCCTCCTTCCCCCCACCTGGCCCCGACCACCCCCACCCCTATGAGTCTCTTGTTCTGTGACCCCCCCCCGCAATTTCTCTCAAAAACGACTACGCCCCCCTCCAATGCCCCCCGCCTGGCCCCGGACAGACCCCCACCCCTAGGAGTCCTCTTCTTGGGACCCCCTACTCCAGCATTTCTCGCCCTCAAAAAGCGACCTACGCCCCCCTCAATGCCCCCACCTGGCCCCGACACCCCCCCCCGCCCTAGGAGTCTCTGTTCTTGAGACCCCCAACCCCGCAATTGCTCGCTCAAAAACGGCTTACGCCCCCCCCCCCCCCCCCCCCCCCATGCCCCCGACCTGGCCCCGACGCGTCCACCCCTGGAAGTCTCTGTTCATGGATCCCCCACCCCACCATTTCTCGCCCACAATCGACCTACGCTCTCTCTATGCACCCTCCATGCCCCCCACCTGGCCCCGACAGCTCCAACCCCTGGGAGCCTCTGTTCTTCGAACACCCCACCCCACCATTTCTCGCTCACAAGCGGCCTACGCGCCCCCCCCCCCATCCCCCTCCTGTCCCCCACCTGGCCCCACACCCCCACCCTGGATTCCCTCTGCTCTTTGGACCCCCCACCCCACCATTTTCGCGCCAAAAAGCGACTCAAACGCTCCCCTCCATGCCCCCCTCCATGCCTCCCACCAGGCCCCGACGTCCCCAACCCCTGGGAGCCTCTGTTCTTCGGACCCTCCACCCCATCATTTCTCGCCCCAAAAACGACCTACGCCCCCTCCATGCCCCCCTCCATGCGCCCCACCTGGCCCCGACGCCCCCACCTCTGGCAGTCTCTGTTCTTGGGGCCCCCCACCCCGCCATTTCTCGCCCACAAGCGAACTACGCCCCCCATCCATGCGCCCCATCCATGCCCCCCACTTGGCCCCGACATCTCCAACTCCTGGGAACATCTGTTCTCGGGACCCTCCACCCACCTCACCATTTCTCGCACAAAAACGACCTACGCCCCCCTCCATGCCCCCCATCCATGCCCCCCCACCTGGCCCCGACGCCAACCCCTGAAGCTTTGTGTTCTGGGATCCTCCACCCCACGATTTCTCGCCCAAAAAGAACCGACGCCCCCCTCCATGCCCCCCTCCATGCCCCCTACCTCGCCCCGGCACTCTCACCCCCGGGAGTCTCTGTTCTTGGGATCCCCCACCCCACCATTTCTCGCCCAGAAACGACCTACGCCCCCCTTCCATGCCCCCTTCCATGCCCCCCACCTGGCCCCGACATCCCCACCCCTGGGAGCCTCTGCTCTTGGGACCCTCCACCCCACCATTTCTCGCCCAAAAATGACTTCCGGCTCCCTCCATGCACCCCTCCATGCCCCCCACCTGGCCCCGACACCCCCAGCCCTGGGGGTCTCTGTTCTTGGGACCCTCCACACTACAATTTCTCGCCCAAAAACGACCTACGCCCCCCTCCATGCTCCCCTCCATGTCCCCCATATGCCACCCGACACTCCCCGCCCCCCGGGAGCCCTCTGTTTTCTTGGGACCCCCTACCCACCTATTCTCGCCCAAAAACCACCCACGCCCCCCTCCATGCCCCCCTCCATGCCTCCCACCTGGCCCCGACACCCCCACTCTTGGGAATCTCTGTTCTTGGGATCCACCAACCCAGCATTTCTCACCCAAAAACGACCTACGCCCCCCTCCATCCCCCCTCAATGCCCCCCACCTGGCCCCGACATTCCCAATTCCTGAGAACCTCGGTTCTTTCTTGGGCCTCCCACCCCACCATTTCTCGGCCCAAAAAGCGACCTACGCCCCTCCCCATGGCCCCCCTAACCATGCCCCCACCTGGCCCCAGACACCCCCACCCCAAGGAGTCTCTGTTCTTGGACCCCCCCACCCCAGCATTTGATTATAAAGTTCGACCTAAGCGCCCCCCTCCATGCCCCTCCATGCCCCCCGCCTGGCCCCGACATCCCCAACCCCTGGGAGCCTCTGTTCCTCGGACCCCCCACCCCAGCATTTCTCGCCCAAAAACGACCTACGCCCCCCTCCACGCGTCTGAAAGTGAAGCGGCGGCAGTTTCCTTTGGCCCCGGCGTTTGGAGTCACGGCCCACTCAGCACAAGGTCAGATTTTTAAGCAAGGTGTCATCGTGGATATGAGGATTGGCGGGGGCATGTCGCCGTCGTCGAGTTATGTGGCTCTGACGCGCGTGCGTCGCCGCGAGGACATGTTGATATTTCGACCTTTCGACCGCGAGCCGTGCACTCAGAAAGAGCGGAAGGGGACCGGATTACTAGTGCAGTCGTTGCGGGGAGATCCCATGGATTGGGATGCAATCGAGAAGGAGTTCATGCCTGCAGGGCGGCGCGCGCTGTGCTCGTCGGTGAAGTACAAGAACCAGTATGCGCTCGGGCAGTGGAGCCGGGACGACGGACTCCGCGCGTGCAAGTTGTGCTTGGAACGCAAAAAGAGCACTGGCACGCCGCGGCAGTGCATGGAGTGCTTTCTGTGGAAGGGCCAGGATGCATTCCACGCATCCCAGCACCACGGCTCGAAGCTCGCGTCACGGCGTTGCGTGGACTGTCCCGAGAGGCGAAAGTGTCACGTATGCGAGGAGCGGAAGTACGAGGATGCGTTCGTGGATTTGCAGTGGGAGAAGGCAGGGAACGCTCGATGTAAAGGAGGAATGTGCCTCGAGTGCGAGGGGCCGAAGAAGCACCTGAAGTGTTTGCGCTGCGGCCAGGAAAAGTTGCTGAAATAATATGCCAAAGCGGATCAGTGCAATGACGAACCCACATGCAAGTCGCGTAAGAAGTTGTTGTGAAAGGAGGGAAAGGCGCGGGCCGAAGAAGCAAGGCGGGTGGTATGCACAAAATGTGGAGAGGGGAAGAGTAAGTCTGAATTTTCCGCTCATATGTTGGACACCGCGTCCAAAGCGTCGATTGCGCGTACCCAGTGCGTCGACGATGCGACCGCCCAACGGAACATGGCGGCGACCAAAGACGTGAAGACCTGCTTTGTGTGCGAGGTGGCGCAGCGACGCGAATGCTCTTCGCAGTGGACGTGGGAGGGCGCGGCAGAGAAGCACCGCAAGTGCAAGCGCTGCGTCGACGCTGGGGCTGCACAGCGGGACACAGCTGCATTGAAGGACGTGAAGACCTGTGTTGTGTGCGAGGAGGCGCAGCGGCGCGAATGCTTTTCGCGGTGGATGTGTGAGGGCGTGGGAGATCAGCAGCGCAAGTGCAAGCGCTGCATCGATGGCGCGAAGCTGCAGCGCGGAAAGTGGAAACGCGTAGAATGCAAGGACGCATTCGGGAGGGAGCACTACAGCAACTGGTTGGCTGGACGAGCGACACAGAAGGCGAATGGGAAGCAGAGATGCAACGAGTGCTGCGCTGGCCAAGAACGCAAACGGAATGCAATGGCGAAGAAGAGCCACGCGTCGGTAATGAAACTACAGAAGACTGGATAGATGTCGCCTAAGCCGAGAGGAGGCTCCCTGGGGTGGGTGTGGAGGGGGGCGTTGGACGTTTATGGGCGAGGAATAGTGATGTGGGGGGTCCCCAGAAAACAAGTTCCCTGGGGCGGGGGTGTCGGGGCGAGGTGGAGGGGAGGGGGGGGGGGGGGGTGCGGGGAGGGGGGCGTTGGGTCATTCTTGGGCGAGCCATGCGGGCGTCGGGGCGCAAGGCGGGGAGCGGGGAGGAGGGCGCAGTCGTTTGGGCAAGAAATGGCGGGGTGGGGCCCCCCCAAGAACAGAGACCCCCTGGGGTGGGGATGTCGGGGGCAGTTAAGGGTTGGGGAGGGGCGCAGGTCGCTTGCGAGAGTGAAATGTGGGTTGGGGGTGCCCAGGAACAGAGACTACCTGATGGTGGGTACGTCGGGGCCGGGTAGGGGGATGGGGGGGGAGGGGGGGGGAGGGGGGGGCGCATGGAGGGGGGCGTAAGGCACGTTTTTGGGCGAGAATGGTGGGGTGGGGGTCCCAAGAACAGAGGCTCCCAGGGGTTGGAGATGTCGGGGCCAGGTGGGGATCATGGAGGGGGGCATGGAGGGGGGCGTAGATCGTTTTTGGCGAGAAATGGTGGGTGGGGGGATCCCAAGAACAGAGACTCCCAAGAGTGGGGGTGTCGGGGCCAGGTGGGGGGCATGGAGGGGGGCACGGAGGGGGGCGTAGGTCGGTGGTGGGCGAGAAATGGTGGCGTGGGGGACCCCAAGAACAGAAGCTCTCAGGGGTTGGGGACGTCGGGGCCAGGTGGGGGCGCATGGAGGGGGGGGGCATGGAGGAGGGCGCAGGTCGTTTTTGTGCGAGAAATGGTGAGGTGGGTGGAGGGCCCCGAGAACAGATGTTCCCAGGAGTTGGGGATGTCGGGGCCAAGCGGGGGGCATGGAGGGGGGCGCAGGTCGTTGGTGGGCGAGAAATAATGGGGTGGAGGGCCCCAAGAACAGAGATTGCCAGAGGTGGGGGTGTCGGGGCCAGGTGGGGCTTCGAGTTGTTGGGGATGTCGGGGCCAGGTGGGAGGCATGGAGGGGGGCATGGAGGGGGAGATAGGTCGTTGTTGGTGGTGGTGGACAAATGGTGGGGCCCCAAGAGCAGAGACTCCCCAGGGTGGGGGTGTGTGGGCCAGGTGGGGGGCATGGAGGGGGGGATGGAGGGGGGCGTAGGTCGTTTTTGAGCGAGAAATGGTGGGGTGGGGTGCCCGAAGAACAGAGGCTTCCAGGGGTTGGGGCTGTCGGGGCCAGGTGGGGGGCATGGAGGGGGGCATAGAGAGAGCGTAGGTCGATTGTGGGCGACAAGTGGTGGGGCGGTGGGGTTCCAAGAACAGAGACTCCCAGGGGTGGAAGTGTCGGGGCCAGGTGGGGTGGGGGGGGAGGGCATGGAGGGGGGCATGGAGGGGGGCGTAAGTCGTTTTTGGACGAGAAATGTGAAAAATGGTGGGTGGGGGGTCCCAAGAGCAGAGGCTCCCAGGGTTGGGAATGTCTGGGCCAGGTGGGGGGGGCATGGAGGGGGCATGGGGGAGGGTGTGAGGGGGGAGGGGGTGGGGGGGGGGGGGGAGGGCGTAGGTCGCTTTTGGGCGAGAAATGCTGGGATGGGGGGGCCCAAGAACAGAGACTCTTAGGGGCGGGGGTGTCAGGGCCAGGCGGGGGGCACGGAGGGGGGCGCAGGTCGTTTTTGAGCGAAAAATTGCGGAGTGGGGGGTCCCAAGGTCTGAGACTCCCAGGGCTGGGAGCGTCGGGGCCAGGTGGGTGGCATGGAGGGGGGCATGGAGGGGTGCGTAAGTCGTTTGTAGCCGACAAATGGTGGGGTGGGGGGGATCAAGAACAGAGGCTTCGAGTTGTTGGGGAGGTCGGGGCCAGGTGGGGGGGGGCGCGGAAGAGAGCATGGAGGGGGGCGCAGGTCGCTTCTGAGGAGGCCGCGGCTTGCGTTCGTCGAGGCGACCCCGCCCTGCGCTGAAAAGGGCGCGCGGGACAGCCGCGGGGCAGCCGCGGGGCAGCCGAAGCAAAGCGGGCTCTTGGGCGGCATCGCCGCGGGACGCCGCGACATAGCCGCAGCAGCACGACTGAGGACGGCTCACAGCTGCAGCACTGCTGTAGCACAGCGACGGGGTAGCATGTCGGCGACACAGGGACGATCTTCCACGAAGGGGATATCCATAGGAACTACATCCTTGACAGGAACAGACACGGTCACGGACCTGGCGGACACAGATAAGGAAAGCAACGTGGAGGGCGAACGACAAGAGAGCGCCGAGACGGCACAATATGCACACGCAAGTCCGGGCATATATAACTCGGTGTGAAACGGCAGGTGCATGTGCAATTGAATGCATGCCCTGGTTGTTGAACAGGTGTAGGAAATTCCGGGGCATGTGATCTCTTACAAACATCAGTAAGAACAGGCGTCGGTAGGTCGAAACGGCGAGACACACATGGCCAATAATAGGAGGGCAGTGTGGAAACGCATGCGCGCGCGAGAAAACGCGAGCAACTGAACACGCACACGCGAGAACGCGTGCGTGAATACAATGGCACGCACATGAACTTTCACTGTAAGCGATCGGCGTGAATGGACTCAGGGAATCGCTTTGCCCCCCCATGCGTCGCCTTCTTCCTAAAACCATGGGTCTGAAGCTCTTCCCCCGCGATGGGCTAGAGCGCCTAAGATGGCCCAAAATGGCTCTGCGACGGCCCCAGAAAGCCCATGATGACCTCAAATATGACTCATGAGCACCCAACGTCGTTCAAGATACCTTCCAATTTGCCTCCGAGATGCCCCGCGGCCGCCCCAAGGCGGCTCCAAGTGGCCACGGCGCTCCCCCAGGAGGCCCCCGGGAAGCCCAACTCCTTTAATGACAATACTATGAACAAGTTGGTGTCGCCTTCTCGTTGTTCCGAGCAGTGTCCGCAGGCAGCAATGCAACTATAATGATGATACCGACTGTGTGGGGCCGGACGGAGTGCCGCGTGCCGCTGGCATTGGCGACCGAAAACACATGTTCAAGTGTAATATGACAGCGCCAGACTGCGCCGGGACAGCCGCGGGACAGCCACGGGACAGCCGCGGGACAGCCACGGGACAGCCGCGGGACAGCCGCGGGACAGCCGCGGGACAGCCGCGGGACAGCCGAAGCAAAGCGGGCCGTCGGGCAATAAAGCTGCGGCCCGGGCCAGTAAAGCCGCGGCCCGCCGCGGGACAGCCGCGGGACAGCCGCGGGACAGCCGCGGGACAGCCGCGGGACAGCCGCGGGACAGCCGAGGCGCAGGCGAGGCAAACATGAGGCCAAAATGCTATGGGAGCACTGGGAATGGCCTTCAATCGAGTTGTCTGGCATTGAAGATTATCCATGGTTCGGATGACGAGGAAGGGAGCGAAGGAGGTAGGAGGGGGGCGAAGGAGGGAAGAGGGAGGAGGGAGGAGCGAGGAGGGAGGGAGGAGGGAGGATGAGGGAGGAACGAGGAGGGAGGGACGAGAAGGGAGGAGGGAGGACCAAGGAGGGATGAAGGGTGGAGGAGCCATGGCAAAGAAACGAATGAGTGAACCCGACGTCGGGGTCACATAAGCCCCCGCCATCAAAGTGCATATTGGGGCTGGTCTTGTGGGGGGTGATTGCCGTGGGAGGGAGTCCAAGGGCGCGGGATGAGCGGGAAGGTTTTTTGCTGATGATTTCTATGTGCTTGTATTGCAATAAAACGGACTGTCATTTTCCCGCACAACCAAAATAGCAACAAACGAACGGGGGAAAGGCGCGCGCCACCTGCATCTTACGGGCGATCCCGCTGGACGCCCGTGAGCGCGAAAACCGCGAAGAGACCCGGACCGACGAAAAGCGCGAGAGACCCCTAAACCTTGCAAGATCTTGCAGTGCCCACCCAATCGGCCAGGGCAGACGAAGGCGCCCGTGCGGGGCGCGCGCATCATCACAGCGACAACAAAAAACACGCCATGTCCTGAAGCTCGCAGAACGCATCATGGAGCGATGGCGCACGCACAGATCCGCAGTCGAATCGGGTTGAAGCTCGCACGGGCTGCGCTACAGCAGACCGGCGCGCCCGACACTCAAACGCGCCGAAGCTCTAGCTACTCGCGCACGCAGAAAAGCTGCTCGCTCAATGAAAAAAGCCACGCTCGCAGGAAAGCTGCTCGCCCACAGGGCACGGCTACATTTCGGCTTTTCTTGGACGGAATTATGCGAAGGGGGGGGTCAGTTTAAGCCGCGGCCTCCTCAGTCGCTTCTGGGGGAGACATGGCGGGGTAGGGGGCCCCAA